AGCGTCGACCATTTCTGGCCGGCAACTTTCAGCGTCATTAAGCCGCTGCGCCACCGCGTCACCAAAGATGCATATAGAACACGACAAATGACCTGGCCATAGGCAATACAGGGTTTGTGGATAATGCTTCCTTGCTGGCTTGCTTATCTGTCAGCTTTTATGCTGTTTCAGTCACAAAGTGCTAACAACTTCAATTATGCCCAGATTAAAAGTCAGTGTAACAAAAAAGACTTGTAAAAAATGCTCTGTGAAATAGATTCTAGCTAGTATACTACACCCTGCTGAAATTTCTAAAAACTTTTTAAGGAAAGTGCCACCTGGAACATGTTGCAGTCATCTAATACTCTTTGGAATACCATAATTCTCCCTGAGACCCATCCTGGCCCTAATTAAATGAACCCTTAAAACCTGGGCCCTGGGTTAAAGTGGGTGATGTTTCGGTCTTTTAATGGTCATTGGTGGTGGGGGGAGGGGTTTCTGGACCTTCTCCTTTTGGTGAGGTAATTCTTTGTTTTTAATCTTTCATTTTTTATGGTGTATTTGTAGGCTGCCCAGAGTCATGACAGATTGGGGCAGCCTATAGATTCAACTGAAAAATTAACAAATGAGGAAGTGACCAGATTAGCTTTCTCCAGGAAAAAGGCAGCTAGCACGCTAACTGAAAATCTCTTCTGGGAGCAACAGTGAGAGCAGCTTAAATTCACAAAGTAAAGCGGGGTCCATGCCCAAGTTCTGAATCTTATTACTCAAGGGGAATGCAGACCTAGTTAATCAAAGTTGTACTTGCTGTCCAGGTTGTCCTTCCTGCTAATTAATAGCACTTCTAATTTTGCTAGAATAAGCTTTTGGGTTTTTTTCCATATGAAGTCCATGAATATGCTTTAGAAATATTTCAGAACTTTGAGAATCTCCCTACCATTAAATGAAAATAAATGCTTCATATCATCTGTAAGTTCACATAGATGTTAAAGGGGCAAACTGTATGTGATGCTGATCCAGGGTGGCAAGCAGCAGACCCCAACATCATTTCAGAACCTTCAGGTGATGTAGCTGCACGTCTTCCTTCGTTTATTACTGATAAATAAATGCCATAGAAGTGCACAGCATGAACACCCCTGAGCTGCATGTTTCCCCCAAAGGTCATGGACAAAATCTTCAGAAGCTCAGAAAGCTGCTACCAGATGGTAATGTTTAATGTGATAGAAAGTACATATTAAATCCATAACTGGAAAATAATCTTATCTATATTTAATGTTAATTTAATGTCAGTGTGAATTAAATGGACATTAATTTTGCCCTAGCCCCATCTGCTATACTTTCAAATACAGCCCTCACTGAAGTGTTGAGCGCCTTGCAGCATAGCAAGTCTTGCAGGACTCATTTGTATGAAATAAGAGGTGGGTGTTCCGTATAAATAGAGCAGGAGCACATTGGGTTCAAAACATAGTTCAGTTTAGTTTGTTAACCGTTGCATGGCTTAATCAGGGTAGGACAGAGACTACTAAGCATTTCTTTGATTGCTTTCCAGACAGAAAGACACAATATAGGCAGAGCTAAATATTGATTATCACTGAAGTATTCCAAAATGCACTTTGTAAGCCATTTTTATGATATAGATATGGTCAAAGTGGAGAATTAAGGAATTAAAATTACAATCTGAGGCAAACCTTGATGAAATAGAATAAATGCTAAGGAAAGGACAGCATCTTTCTCACTAATTCATAGATTTGCTTGTCATGTGATTATGAATTTCCTTTTTCTAGTTTTATAATAGCTTGGGACAAACTAGGCAGCTACATAATCTTGATCCCCTGTTTTTTCATATAATAAGCTTGGCTCAGAAATAAGATAAATATGACACCATCAACTGGATTCTGTTTTGTCTACCTTTGCTAATCTTGTGGATACTCAGAGCACCCAGTGATCGTTTCTGGGTTCAATTCTGCTACTGTGGAGAGCCTGCCCACTATAATAGCAATATTGCAGCATTTATCTGCATTGCATGGAGCTGCCACTGCAGTACAAGGCGCAGCACACCATGTAGGAGGTGGAAAAGCATTCAAGCAGATCAGAGTTCATGCCAGATTAGACTGCCCTTCTGAAAGGCTGAGTGTCAAAGAATACTGATCTTCTTAAGTGCCCACGTAGCCTCAAAATAGCATGTACTGTTAGTTTTCTGCCCAGGAGGTAGGGTCACATTAGGTTTGCATCTGCGTTCCCAAATGCTCTTCAGTGTCTCTGTTTTTGCTTCCTAGCCTGTTGCAGACATGACTTAACCCAACCAGACAGCTGATTCCCTGCTCTCTTTATCCAACGTAGCCTTGAAGCAATGTCACTTCTTGGGTTTTGACATACTGTTCTCAAAAAAGCTCTTTGTCATGTGTTGGAAATGTTTGTTTTTGTCTTGTGAAAAAGTTCCCATATGTCTAGACTTGGCAGATGTCAGAGCAATTGACAGTGGTAGAGCTTGGGGTGAAGGCCACCTTTCTCTTTTACCAGCCAAAAAATATCACCTCCCTCATCTCCCACCTATCTCTACCAATGGGTATGTTTTTTTTTCCCCTCTGCTTTGTGTCAAGGCATGTTTTATTTGTAGGTTTGCGTCCCACAAGTACCCTACCACAACTCCTGACCAGGATACTTTTTAAGTGATTGGTGACCAGATGTCTGTTGTCCATTCTGCAAGCACCCTAGAAAGTGGCAAGTTCAAAACCATCTGGGTTTTCTTTACAAAAGGTGGGGTGCTTCTCCCATGTAAATGCTACCTAGAATGCTGTCATTCTTACCACTTTAAGGCTAACTGCAGTTGACATGATGGCTCCAGAGAGTTCTAGGTGGGGGCAGCAGGGAAGATCTTTGACAGAAGCTGAATGGCTCCTTTGTCTCTGCCCCAGGTCAGGGATGCTGGAAGCTGGAGTGGACAGAATAATTTCTCAGGTGGTGGATCCAAAACTAAACCACATCTTCAGACCACAGATAGAGAAGGCAATTCATGATTTCCTGGCTGCGCAGAAGAAAGAGGAATCAGTGCCAGCTCCTCCCCCAGAACCTGAGAGTCAGGATCCTTCCGCTCCAACCCAAGATGCCTCTTAAGGTCTGGTATTGCTATACATCTTCCTTTGCACGCACTTGTAACCCTTTTGTGTACCACTCATGTAAATTAAATAGCCAAAAGTCAGTATTTGATCGTAAGATCAGTGCCAAAATTACTGTCAAAAGTAAGAACAAGCTGTGACTTTGAAGTCTGTAATATTTGTCATTAGAAACACTGCAGCATTGTACTGGTCCTCTCTGTTAATAACAGTATATTTTTACTAGGCTAGACAACAATTTGGTTATTGACTAGCAACTCAAAGATATAGGAAGGATTGCAGTCCAAATGATCCTTAAGTGTAGGCTTGCTTTATTAAGAGTCTATTAATCTTGTAAAAAGTGGGGAGGGAAAAAGCCATTAAAAATGTAAAGAATGACATAGATTCATTTGTAGAGAAATGTGCTGCTTCAGCTGAGCTTAAAGACAATGGACTGATTTTGGGTAACTCTCACAATTTATAAGGAGCCAGTAGCTATCACTATGGTAATTGTAGGACATTGGTGTGTTTTGCAAATTCCAGATAGAGCATCCCAAGGTTAGCAGATACTAACCATTCTATTAGGTGCTTCATATAACACAACCCAGCATTCTAATTCAAAAATTATTGCAGTGAATTTTAATGTATGCTGCTTTGCTTTGCTTTCGTGATGTTAGAAGTTCAGGAAACCTCTTTTAGACCTAGAGAATGAGGTCTACAGTCCCTATTTTCAGCAGAGGTCCAACTTGCTCAAAGAAGGGAATAGGAAGTTTTTCTTTCAGTCAGAGAACTTCCCTTCTTCACCAGGATCATGAGTTGCTCCCCTGTAAGTATAAGTAGGCTGTAAATGAACCAGCTGAAAGGCCCCGGTAGAGTATAATAGAGAAAATTTGGCCTCTACTGCAGAGGGTTTTCTCTGACTTCATGCTTGGTACGCATATAAAGTTCAGTGTGGCATTAAGGTCATATCCCTCCCTTTACTTGGGCACAGAATGCAGAATCTCTTTTAAAGCTATGCCTCAGAGGCATTGTAAAGCACAACTTCTTGTTCCTTCTAGGACTCTTTTAAAGGCAAGTCAGATGTAGGGATGAGACTCCACTCTTTAGTGTTAATAACTCTGTATTTTAGCTAGTTATCAAGGGAAAATACAGTCACTGAATCTGTACCCTGATGCAACACAGGGAGTCCATTCCTTGATCTTTGCTTGGTTATCACAGCATATTGGTGCATCAAATCCTGCTGTGGACAAACTGAGCAATCAGGTTAATGCTGAATTCAGAGCCTTTTTTGTTTGTCTACGAATCTTAATTAAGTTGAACTAGCAGCTGATTTAATGACAGTATAGTAAAACTGATGTTTATCTTTTCCTTTTGCAGTGCATATCTGGATTTAAGGTGGCTGCAGTTTCAAAACCAAGGCTGACTATTTGGCAGCAGGCTACATATCTGCAGGAATACAGATTGTCAGCTAATATCAACTGTGATTGAGGAACAGGGTTGGCAAAAGTCACCAGTGGTTTCTGTGTGGTATGGAGGGATAAGCTAGATGTGAAAGAGTATTGCTATTTTCTGAAGTAGCATCTGTTTGGCTATTTCTATGTTTGGGGAGTGGCACCTTTTAAGGAGCCACAATAGGGGAAAGGGTTTCTGGTGTGATGTTAGTGGATTTGGTGGTATTTGGAAATGTAGCAATAGGAAAGGGGGCATTTTAAGTATGCTTGGTTTCCTCAGAGGCCACTGTGTCAGAAGACCTTTGGCTGGGTAATTGAGCAGTGGGCATGCAAGCATGAAGCAGATCAATTTAGTAGAAAAAGATCCTTGGGGCCTAGAACCTTACTGAATTTAAGTAATACCTCACTTGCAGTGCCTAACCAAGTCTCCTTCAACAGCAAGAATTTTTCATAATTGGCTTTCTACAAGTGTCCAAAGCAAAGCCTCTCCAGATTTCTGGAGGCGATATCTGTCATACCTTGATGCTCAGCTCCCTTCCCAGCCTGATCAAAGAAATTGGTATGGAACAAGAAATGGTTTCTGGGGGCTTTGCAGTTGGAAAAAGTTCTCTCGTTTGTGAGATTCTTCAGGTGCCTGTTCAAAGCTGCTTAGAGAGTCACATAAACTCTCCGGTGGACATTTGTGCACAAATATTTGGCAAGCAAATATCTGGAACACTTTTAATAATAAAACGCTAGAAAAATCTCAGATGTGGAAGTGTTTTATATATGAATGCCTTTTCCATCACAGTGAACTGATGTATCTGCACAGTGATATTTGCTGTCCATTTCTAGGGATTTCTTAGGAATTTGTAAGGGTGAGAAGGCTTCAAAAATTGAATGTTTGACATCTGAATAAGTGTTCTGATCGCAGTGTGCCTTCATAAAGCAGTATCTTCACCCTAGTTAAATAAACTGTGGTTTAGTGCAATGTGCAAACTAGGCTAATATGTTCGGGACTATATCATTCTTACTCTACAGGAAGTATTTGTAATGTTTTATCTCACTTTCCATATTTTTTACATGCAAAAAGTCCTGTAATTGCTAACAATGTAGTTTAAGGATAGGTGTGTAAACTTGCACTCATTCTAAATTTGTTCTTCAAATTATAATAGAAGTACAATAAATTTGATATACATTTTTAATTTTGTTTAAGTCATCCATTATGTCCAGATAGTCTGCAGTATCAAATATTTCCTTTGAAAATACTGAATTTATGGACTTCAGAGTGAGGAACAGCAAGCTAACATGTCCCCGAACAAGTGGAGATGATGTTGCAGTCATGACCGAAGGACCAGCGAGTAGACTGGTCCCACAAAACCTCTCTGGAAAAGGAGAGGACAGGAGATTGCCCACTTGTGTTCCGGACAGCTGCTCCTTGTGAAGAGATCACAGGACAGCAGTTTCCTGCGGGTTTGAGCACCAGGAGACGAAGGGAAGCCATTAAGCTGTCAACCACGACAGAGTCTTTTTAAGGAAACTGGGTTTGTTAACCTCACTTACTAATCACTTTTGGAAATCAACTATTTAACTATCTTAAGGCTAATAGAGACCTTCAAAATGACAAGTTAGCAAAGCCACCTGGTGAGTTTATCTTCATTCCAGAATAAAAGAAAAATTAACTATAAACTTAAGAATTTGAAATAAACAGCAAAAAGCTAAACAAGAATTTAACTCAAGAAAGTTATAGGTAAATTAAGGGACCAGACAAATTTGGAACATTAGGACTTTTGCTATAAGATTTTGAAAATATATAAATAGATAGCAACTTTGTGGGAATCAAATTGTTTAGTCTATCTTAAGTCATAACAAAAAACAAAAAGATTTTATGATTTCAGAAATTGGAAACTAAAAATTCCAGGCAGAAAAGGGAAAAGGGGGGAAAAAAAGAGAAAGGCTTGCCTTTTGTTTTTTGTCAGTATTGAAATGACAGAAAATAGTATGGCATGTGAAAGGAGATCTTTGAAGAATGGGGTCAGAAAATAGCAGCTACAGTGTTAAGAATGATGTCTGCTTCTATGGATAGATTATTTCCAAAAGATGTTAAAGAAGAAATTACAGATTTGTAAGAGATTACCTTAGAAGATCTACAGGATAAAGAATTGAAACAAACCTCACCTGTTGCAGAAATATTAGAATATAAAGAAAATGTTAAATACTGGAAAATGGAAAAAAAATGTGGATTATAAGACAGAAATGACAGTTAAAGTGGAAATACAAATGATAAGCCAAGAGAATGACCTGGATAATAACTCCTTACTGGATTTACAAAAGCAGTTTGCTAAAGCCTCAAAGAAGCCTTTGAGATGGGAAAAAGAAAATTTGAAGAGATATCAAATCCTACAACAACACCTGAATGAATTAAAGATCAAGTCTGTTAGAAGCAAAAGGAAGGAGTACAAAGTTGGTTGGTTTGACCAAGGTTAAAACAAGACATGTTCCTATAAAGCTCTGGGAACCCTTATGCACTTGTTGCTGACACCAGGACTGAAATGTTAATGATTTATGGATTTGCGCATGAATAAGTGATGGATTATGGGATGAAAAGATACTTGCATGTAACCTTATAGGGGGTTAAAGAATTATTAAGTTTGTACTTGTGATGAAGATTGAACATCACTTCTTTAAATAGTTATTTTCTCCTTTTCTTATTTCTCTTCTTGCTTTTTTTCTTTACACTTTATTTTCTCTTTTCTTTCTGAGTTTAGTTTGCATTGTCTTTTACTATTGTTATTAAAATTTTCAATAAAAATTATTTTAAAAAATGAAAATACTGAATTTATAATTGGGAAAATCAGTCTCTGTTATATAGCTCTGCCTTGTAAATAACCCTCTGTATCGTTAGCCAACTCTTGACACATTGCAAAATGTTCCGGTAATTTGATAATTCCTGTTACTGACCTGGACAACCTAGTCCTAATTGCTGTGTATAGTTTTCAGATTCTGTATCTTCCCACGTCTGTTTTGTGGCTTCTCTTCATCTAGTTTTTACTTTTTATCCCTTCATAGCCATGCCCTTAATCTTTTGGAAATCCTGCAGAGACTGATACTAAAACTGTCATTTTTAGCTTCTTATGTCTGAAATGTGTTAGGAAGATTACTATGAGTGCTCTCCTGATGTCCTTCTGTTGATACTTTGGCTTCATATTTTGTCTTTGTCAGAGACAATTCTGTTGAAAAGATATATGAGGTGAGAGAAAGTTGGAGCAACATCAAAGGAATGCAGGCAATTCTATTATACCAAATCAGACCACTAGTCTGTCTAACTCAGTCCTATGTAAACTGATTGGAAAAAATTCTACAAGATTTCCAAGGGACAGTGCTATGCTAATATGTTAGCATGTATACATTCATACATTCATTTTGATTACTTCCACCTCTAATGGGCAAGATGAGGTAACATTCTGACACTGCATAGTATTTTTTTTTTTTATGAGCAAATAATTTCAGTTTTGAAACCAAAAGAGCTGTCTTTTATAGCCTCTAGAATTTGCCATTTTTCAATCTTTACAGAATTTTTATAGCTTGCTGGAAGTTAGGAGAATAATAATGAACAGAAAGAAGAATAGTCTTGTGTTGTCTTCTTATATATATACCACCTTTCATTACAGGCACTTGAGGCAGCATATATAGCACTCCCTGCTCATAGTATTTATGAATCCCAAATGGATAGTGCAGATGCTAACTGAAGCTGTGAAAATCTGTCTCTTAGTTTGGCATCAGCCAGAACCCCAGGATAGGAGTAGGGATGTGGCTATTACCATCTGGAAGACTCTTGTGGCTTCCAGGGGCACTGTGCTGCAAATAATGAATGTTAGATGCTGTTAGTGAAATTGGGCTCTAGAGATCAGTCGGGATTGCTTCTGCTGTACCAGCTTCCCTATCAGATTTCTTCAGATTTGGCCAGATTGGTAGTGGCTTTTCCTAATGTTATGGTATTGGGAGACCTCAAACTGCCTTCTCTGGATGCAGAGTCAGAGATGGCTCAGAAGTTTATGGTCATCATGGCAAACATAGACCTAATGCAGATCATTGAGGGCCTGATGCACAGGAGAGGTCTCATGCTAGTTTTGGTTTTTATATTGGGGCTGTGACAACATAATTTGGGGATATGGGGAAAATTAGCATCAGTCCCTAATCATAGATCACTTAGATTTCTTTGAAGTTCTCCACAGCCACCTCCCATTGCAAGGAGGTAGTACCTATTAGGTTGTTCCATTGCAGGTGCCTAATAAACCCTTTTGGGTTTCAGAGGGAGCTTGAGGTTTATTCTGAGACTGTAATACAGTTTGGCTGAGGTCTTAGTTACCAGTTGGAATGAAAGGGTGATATCCTCCTAGACTTAGCCCCTGCTTAAAAAGCAGGTAGCTGCCATAGCTTGGAAGGCCTTTGTAAATATCCTTCTTAGGTGCTAATTATGCATGCTCCTAGACTGAGAGGCCTATTCACCATCACTAATGCTGTGGTCACCACCCATCTGGATTATGGCAATGCTCTTTCTACATAAGGTTGCCCTCGAAGATCGTATGGAAGCTGCAAGTGGTCCAGAACAGGCAATGCAGACGGCTACGTATGTGCCTCAGTATTCCCATGTAACACCGCTATATTGTGAGCTGCATTGAGCTTCTGGGTGCAATTCAAGGTATTGGTTATCACCTGTAAAGCCCTTCATGGCACAGGGCTGGGTTATTTACAGGACTGTCTGTCTCCAATTATTTCCGCACATCCCATGAGATCTGACAGGCTGAGCATGCTCCAGGGGTCTTCTATTAAATATTATCATCTGATGGGGCCCCAGAAGTTAGCCTTCTCTGTCACAGTGCCTGCCCTATGGAACTGCATACCCCCTGACCCTACTGGCCTTTTGAAAAGTGTTGAAGGCCTAGTTCTTCCCCTGGGCAGTGGGCTAGGCTGTTGGGTGAGTCATCTTTGGTGACCTGATTGTATATCTTAGAGCACGATGTGTTCTTTTTTTTAATTTATTTATGGTTATTTTAAGGAACGTGTGTGTGTCAAGTAGGCAGCTATATAAACTGAAGTAATAATTAATGAATCAATGCTAATTCCTCAGACAGCCTTAGGCTACTGTATAAGTTAATCTTCTGATACCAAAAGAAATATTGTATGTAGGAGCTCTCATAATGATGATTTCTTTTTAAAAAATCTGCAACTCCTAGGAAAAATATGGTGCTTAGGTGGATTTTGTATTAAATCAGATATAAGGGGTATGAATCTATGAAGTTTTGGGGTTAAACGTAACTATCCCTTAATAACATGAAATGTGTAAATTTGCACAATATGAATATCCTTAAAGTTGTTCTTTCAAGTTTTCTGGGGTTGGTGAATCCTGCACTATGATAACCCTGCAGCCTTATGCTCATCATCTGTAAGTGCCTTTCCCACCCTACTGTCTCCAAATATCTTGACCAAGTTGGTTGGGACAGATAGGGGATGTATGGGAAGGTTAGGAAATGAAAGTTGTCGATTATCTAGGCGGTGTCATCCATGAATGAAAGCCTCCTGAGGATCTTATTCTCAACCAACAACATAATGGCTTCCTGGGTATCATCATGAAAGAACTTCAGGATTTCTTCAGTTTAATGTTTTGAAAGTATTACACAGTTGTGCTTGTCAATGCCCCTAAATTTGCCAGGGCCAGTACTCATGACAAACTGAGTTTCAACTAAGCCAGGGTAGGCAGTAGTATCTGCTACATCTGCTGATATTTTTCTTAACACCTAGTAAATTCCTTGTCCTAGTCTAATTCCTGGGGCCAAGGGTATTCTTAAAAACAGAATGTACTTTGTTTGGAAATTGTCTCTTCTTTCTCAGAAAAAGGGGCCATGGAGCTTGGACAGTAGAAGACACCCTTAAGGATCTAGAAGGGACAGGGGAAAACTCACCAGTTTGCCTTTTGGTAAAGTGTGGGGCGGGGAGGGTGGTCAAGTCATACCAACAATGGCAGCCACTTCTTAAAATCACTGATTTTGTGATAGTGCCAGCAACATCCTCTCAAAATCCAAAAGTTCCTTTCAGTTCAAAAAGATTGCTTAGTCCTGCCATAAGCTAAGTATGGTTATTTTAAAGAAAGTTTGAAATATTTCTGTTGGACTTTGCTGCTGATGTTATATTTCTGAGAGAAGCAGCATCTGCTCAGCCTTCCAGGGAAGGGCTAACGAGAAGTAGAGGTATCTACAGGCTGCAGTCCAAAAAGTCAAGATGGCAGCCACAGCAGTACCATCAAAGCACCGCCTGTTTTTTTTTATGTGCATTGCCCAGTACTTCATGGGCAGCTAATCAGTGAGCCATCCATCTTGTCTGCCTGCCTTTTAGCAAGAGCCTGAATTTAAAATGACCAGCATGAACACTAAAGTTTATCTGCTCAAATGATGTAACTCAAGAAGAAATGGATGGCTTTCCTTCCAAAAGGTGTCCAAGGAACAGGAAGATGTATTCAGTTGACGTGGCTCATAGGATCAAAAGGGCTGCTTCTTCCTAGAAGGCTTCATAGGTTTTAATTGAACTGGTTCCTGTTTCTTGGAGCAGTCATTTAATACCTTGAATGTGCTCT